ATTATTTTAAATGTTTTAAAAATAGACTTTTTTATTTTTTATTTTGGTTATTCACATCAAAAGCTATCTCATAATGATCTAATTAAGAATTCAAACCGATCTAAGAGGATACAGAGTATTAGTATAATCTTAGTTTGTTTAAAGCAAATGCAGAATCGACTAAGGTCTCTTTATCCAATCTGCTATAGCTAATAATTAAATTACATTACTATTTCCTCCATTAAAAAAATTATTTTGAAAATTTCTTCTATAAATAAATTACTTAAAATGCCATTTATTGGAAAAAGTAATAATAGAACTCTTATAACACTAATTTTACAGAGAAGAGATCCGAAATCCAAAAGCTAATGCCACTTCAATAAAAAAAAAAAAAAATTAAATCGACTCTCTACTTTTATATAATAGTTTAGCTTTTGGTAAAGAGGGTGATCTAGACCCCCAGGGTGAAGCCCACGCTGGGATTCAATCAAGCGTTGGTTTCTTGTCAAATTCGCATTAATAAGCAATAAAAGTTTTACTTACTCACAAAAGATAGATGATAAGTCATATGACCATCTCATGAACCGAAGCATAATACCAATTTTTAACCAGGCATCATGCATGGGTCCACAAGAAGGAAACATGCCGAAGCGAGCATGATCTTGGAAGAACAAAGAGTGGAGTACGCACCGCCAGTTTTTATCTATATGAAGCACAGATGGCGGCTGATCTCATTAAGAGCACCTTAATTTGTTTGTTAAGCACTCCAGTTAGGAATGGAGAAGGATTTTCCATCAACCGGAGTCCGTTTACGTATCAAAAGAGCCATGTGTCGCGGCCCTTCGATTTTATTTAATTCAAAATAAACCGAAAATTTCTCCTCCGGTTTCTTTCGTTTTTACCTTTTCAGTTCTTTTTTTTAATTTTCTGGTTGCGTTAATCACACTAATTACACAATTAAAAGCTTGGTTTTTGCTTTTCGACATATCAAAACAACCTTGATAAATAAATTTAATAGAGTAAACAATACTCAATTTACCAGATTTTCTTCTATAAGCGCATTAAATTTCGGGACTAAATCTATTACCACTATTCCTCCTTAGAAAGCCAAATTAATTCCATCGGATATTATACATAAAAATTGATTCTAGTAGGGAAAAAAGTAAGAAAACCTGTAAATTATTTCAATCATATAAAAATAAACGCAAGAAAGTAAAGTAAACCTCGAAAAATGAAGTTATTTTATTTTCAGTGGGAAAAAACCTAAAATATATTCCTTTTATTTTAAGGTATAGAATGGAATGCATTTTAAGGCTTTTCTTAACTTTAGCCACTAAAAGGGTCTTTTCCCATACCCATTATGGGTTCGGCAAGGCCCAAAATGGCCGACGTCCGAAGCCGGACATATCCGAGACATTACCAATCTCCGAAAAATTCCTGAAGTATTTTTCTTAACTTCTAGGCCAAAATAACAACTTAAATAATACATTTTTATTTGTTAATATTTGTAATTATTAAAGGATAGAATTAATTAAATTTTTAGAAGCATCTCGTTTAGACATTTCGATACACAAGTCTATTGTATTACATTGTATATAGGTTTATAGCCTATTTGATTCTTAAGAACAAAACTTATTTTTCTTACAAGCTTCTTATATTTAATATCAGAAATTAATATAGTTTTCGAATTAATAATAACTCAGAAAATATACTTTTTTTTTATTTATTTATTTAGAAATTCTTTTTTATAAATTCAAAAACTAAATCATCCAATCAGAAATGAGAAGTTGTCATTGACATGTTTGTGGTGTAGAGAAAAATAACAAGAGAAACGAAATATTAATCAGTTAGATACAAAATTAATAATATGTAGCGGGATCGAAGATCTCGTTCTGTTTTCTTACCCGGAAATTACACGAAAACGTCTTCGGCCAACCGGAAGTCTTTTAGACAGAAATATCTCTTTAAATGTAGTTTATGCAATTGTCCCTAGATGGCGATAATTATTAAATATTAAAAACTAAGTGGGATATACAAAATTTCTTTTCTTAAATGCAAACATTTTGCAGGAATTTTAATATTAATCTCTAGAAATTTTCCTTTTACAGCTTGAGAGAAATTGTTTATTTTGGGAAAAGGGAAGAAAAACAAAAATAGAAAATTCCCGAGAAGCTGACAGTAATCTTCTATAACTTGTAGACTAAAACTAGATAAAATACTTACGAATTAACGAAAATTTCTGCTTTTTATTACGTACCGAAACACGCTTTAACGCTTTTATTTTATTTTTATTTTATTTTTTTTTTAATTTTGAAATTTCAAATAATCGCTGAAGTCAACTTTTTTTTTTTTTTTTTTTTTAAATGTTATTTCAGCATTTTCTCTTTATTTATTGAATTACTCCCTAACTTTATCAGTTTAAAATCTTTCAAAAGAGAACTAAAATTTAATTTCAATAATCATTTGTAATAATTAATGATATGCAATTATTAGTATGCAAGAGAGGCTTATCATTTTTATACAAGCTTTTATTAACATACTTTTGTTTGTTATCATTTATATCTTCTGCAGAAAGTAACAAATTAGAGATAAACAAAATATTAGTCTGCTTATGATGTTGAGATCCCCGCATTAATGGAAATATTGAATTCTTACAATACTTTCTATTATATATTTATCAACTAAAATAAATAATATGATATAGATATAGGCAGACCGTCCAGAACTTGTATGAGACCAGGGGGTAGAGCAGGCCCCTTTTACAACTTCAGGACCCCTTTTTTTCCCATTTTTTTTTCAACAAATAAAATACGTAGAATGTTTCTTTATTAATAATAAGTATTTCTAAAGATTTCATTTTCTTTTAGCAAAAATAACATTTAATTTATAGAGGTTGAAACCTTTACGGATCCTCACGAGAAAAATTCCCAGCTCCTTTTTGACAATATAAATTTTGATAATTACTCAGATTTTTAAAAAATTAATTATTTTATTAACTAAAATATAAATTAACATGTTACTTATAAAGATATTTTAAAAATTAAGTTACATTTTTTCCTCTGGAGCAAAATTAATTAAATTTTCAGGAAGAAAATTACATTTTGCTAATTAACTTACCTTTGCTTTACATTTCTCCCCAAAATGCAACAATTATGAAATTCAAAATGTTAAGAAAATGGAAATTTAGCAGAATTCCATGAAAATATTTTATTAATAATTAATTAAAATAATTTAAATCTCTTTTATATTATACAGTCGACCCCCCTATAACACCGTTGATTATTCCATTTTATATGAATTCCATGTTGTACGAGTCACTTAGATTTTACAAGTACGTGAGCCGTTCACAGCCCGACACACGTATTTGTAAAATCTAAGTGACTCGTACAACATGGAATTCATATAAAACGGAATAATCAACAGTGTTATAGCGGGGGTCGACTTATACTTTAATAAAGATTTAATACGCCTATACAAGAAATTCTTATATATTTTACCAATCAATGTACAAAATATAATAAAAATTGCACTGTTATTCAATTAAATTACGCTACTTATCAATATTGTGTACAGAAATCATTTAATTCTTTCAAAAAAATTTTATCTTGGTAATTTCTAAACAAACAAATAAAATAAGATTAGTTATTTTTGCTTTATTTCCACCGCTTTCGCTGATAACTTCTGAAAATATTTCAAAAAATAAATAATAAATAAATAATATGAAAAGAAATGATATATTATCGCGTTATGAAATAATTTTGAGTTTTACTGATAAACCATGATGAGTTTGCGAAAGATAATTTTAATGAGATAATTATAATATATAAATCACATATTAAGACATATAATGATTTATTTAAAGAAAGATTTTAATATAAAATTGTATTGAATAATGATTTTAAAATCCTATATATTAAATAAGTTATTAAAATTAATTAAAATCCTCTTCGTCATCTTTAATCACTGTTAAAAATTAAAGATTTAATCAAACAATTCAGATTTCAATTTATAATGCTACAAGATGCAAAACTTATATTTTTGTTTTTCTATTTAAAAATGATTAAAAAGTTTAAAAATTTTGTTTTTTGTTCAGGCATTTAGTAAAATGTATCGAATTTTCTGAAAAAATAATAAAAAAAATTTGAATTATGTCGGAAAAATTTTAAGAAGGAGAAAAAAAAAAGAACTGGAAATATGTAACTGAAAATTAATTCGTACAAGAAATAATTTTTCCTGATATCGATTCGTCATTTATTCATACCAAATTTTAATGAAGTTTTTGTAATCTTTCGGCTCGTAAAGTCTTTAGAATTACAAAAAAAATCTCATTAAGAGAACATTCCCTATCTACTTTTAATATTACTAAAAATTTTCTATATATTACTAATGAAATCAGGAAAAATTATATATTTAAATATAAGAAAGTTGAAAAGAAACTGAATTCATTTATAAATGTAATGCAATAGAATAAAAGATAACAAAAATATAAAATAATCATTTAAGGATTAAAATTAAACTTGGGTATTGCCATATACATGCTCTTTTTCAAAGATAATTTTAAATTATTTACAGATTTACATATATAAATCATAATTTTTTTTATGCTTTATAAAGCAGCAACATTATTAAATAATTAACATTTGAATGACTATATAATCAACTATATAGTGATTCAAAAATTTGAATCACTATATAATCTACTATATAGTGATTCAACAATTTGAATCACTATATACACAACTATACAGTATATATAATACAGTATATACTCAAAACTAAATTGTTAGTAACTTTTAACAATTAATAACAGATGGAGCCACTTTCCACCAACCACGCCCCAAAGGTAATACATGCTTGGAAATTACTAAAGTGAAATATACTATAAAATAATTAAGTATAAAATTATAAGAAACTTAAATGTGTGTCGAAAATATTATAAAATTAAAATATTTACTAAATAACGTTTTAAAATGTTAAATTAAAGATTTTTCCGACGGAGTTGATTTCTAATCATTTTCGCCTTGTCCGTTCCAGGTTTAAAGCAGTCAATGTCAAAGAAGAAGAGAAAGTGTGGTTCGGATATTGCTAAATTAATTCTAATGTTTTAACTTGCTTAATAATCTATTCTTCGATAGTAAAGTAGATACAATAAAGCTTCTGGGATGAAAATGGCAAGGCCTCTTATACCGAGTCAACAGAAGTTGGCTGAAAAGTTGACCATCCTCAATGACAGAGGAATGGGAATGCTTACAAGGATTTATAATATCAAAAAGGTAATTTTTCTCCATTCATTTACATTATATCTACCAGCAGTCGTGTCTAATAACTATAAATAACACGAAAAAGAAATAATAAGTAATGTAATTTACATCCTGAATTGAAACAGATTTATTATTTGATAAATGATATATACACTGATATCTACATACAATGTATATATGTGATATTAATGCTATCTTATGAGTCATACACTTACATTTTTTATGTATATTTTAATGTAATATGATATATATTTGAATGTGAATATATCCTATATATATATATATATATACACACATTGAAATATCTAAGATAAATCTTATTAGATTAGAATGTTTTTAGTATCTTGATATGCTAATTATTCTTTTGTTGAAGTCTACAATGTTAACCATACTGCATGTCTATATAATATAATTCTATACTTGTTTAATAATGTACATACTGAAATCTATATAATTATTTTGTTGATTAATCCCGTATACGATGCTATCTTATGTATCGTTCGTTCGTTGATGACTACTTACATGTGAAACATTTTTAATAATATACAATATATACATTATGTTGTACTGTATGTATATATAATAATATACAATATATACATTATGTTGTACTGTATGTGTATATAATAATATAATTTATATATGTGTAATAATTTATATATTAGAATAATAAACGAGCAATTTAACTAAATTAACTTTTCATGTTTACAGTTATTACTTAAATGCATGTTAAAAAAGTTATAAAATTAAAATATTTGCTAATAACATTTTAAACTGATAAAGTATGCGAAAGATAAAGAACAGTTAAACCCAATTAGCATGCCCTTTAACTTGATATTTGAAGTTTCAACAGTACAATAAGGTTTTAGGAACTTTGTAAAAAGAAGTGGGTATAACATAATCTTTAATAATTGGAAGTGAGTATAACATAATCTTAAATGGAAAATTTTGGATTTTTCTATTAAAATTGGAAAATTTTCTGAATGTTTCAATTCAGATTATAATTGATTTGATTTATAATTCCAACCTAAAATTTTAATAAATACTTCTAAGATTTTAGAATTGCTTATTAATATTTATGTTTGTTTTTTTGAAAGTTATTAAATTTTGAATTTAAATCTAAGAGATTCGAAAATGTTTTGATGATTGTAACATTTTATATGTTTAATTTCAATAAGGGGTAATTTAATTTAGTGCTATTAATTATTAAACTTAATGTATTAAATAATTATTGTGACAATGGAAAATTATTGACTGAATAATATATTAATATATATAGTCAATGATTTTCCATTTACAACAAAACCGTATGAATTATTTCTCAACAAATAAAATGATTCATAGCTTATTAATTGAGACCTAATAATAAAATAATTCATTTATTGTATGCTTTCATTTTCTAAACTATCGCTATAAAATTCCAGAAATCCAGTAGAATGTTGCTATATATATATATTATTTGTATGTTATTTTGGTCTTTTAATATAACTTTTGTGTATTTTTATCTTGTGAGTTTAATTGAAACACCAACTGAAGACAGACTATTTTATAGTCTGAAATGCATTTTGGGTGTATCATATACTTATTAGCTATAATTATTGTAAAATCTCTTTATTTTGTAAACTTAAATATATAATAAATTTAAGAAATTTCGTGTTCATATTCACTGGTATGATAAGCACTAACATAAATGACTGGTTTAAGTTAGTAGAAACATATATATATATATTTTATATACTGTACAGTAATACAATAAAAAAGCATATGTACAGTACATATGTTTTCTTAAATTTTGTTATTAAAAAATTTCTTAATAAATTAATTAAAGATGATAAAATTAGCAATGTACAAATATTTTAATAAACCAGCCATTCGTTATTTATAAGCATTTAACCTTTTTGTGTTCTTTTGTAATCATTCTTACTACTGCATTCCTGTGCATGTGACATTCATATACAAACAAACATTATTTAAATTTCTGTTTTGGTTCAATTTGCGTTCTACTAGTAGAACCTGACAATGGATGGCCTTTGTAAGGTTGAAATTGTTTGTTTTTCATTAAATGTTTTCATTCTTCTAACTGGATTTCAGGTTTGAGAGTATTCTAGTATTTGTATCAGTTTTTAAACATTTGGTTTTCAAACAAATTCCTAAAATTTGTTTGAAAACCAAATGTTTAAAAACTGAGGTTTTATTGTATTTGTACACCATAATGTATTATGATAGTACAAATTTCTAAATATATAGAAATTAGTAAAATATTGCAATGGAAAGAAAATATAATTTTTTTAGTACGATAATGTCATGCTGAATGAGAGTATTTTATAGTATTTGGAGTTAAATAGAATGATATTCATATGGAGATTATAATGGGTGTGTTTTTGCCTTTTATATTGTTGTAACTTTATATTAATATATATATTATACTGTTTTTGTGAATTTTTACATCACATTTGCAAATAACTAGCATTTAATTTTATTACACATTCTGTCTTTCTAATAGTTAAATCAATTAAGAATATTATATTGTTTGCTTTTTGTTTTAGAAATAAGTAGTTTGTAAGATTTCTAATAAACTCTAGTAGTTTTAATGGTCTTAATGTTCTTGATGTATGCAGTGTCAAAATTATTTTTGTTGTTAATTGACCTTCAGTAAACTACAGTTTAAGATTTCATCTAGTTATATATCTAGATATCTGACAAAATATTACAACAAGTCAATTAAAAGAGAAGGAAATTTAAATTTCACATTTTGATACAGTAAGATCCAGGATGCTGCTCGATTAATGCTGATTCAATATAACATAGTCTGCTTGAAGCCTGAAAAAAACTCAAAATTTATGCTGATTCAAATTATTGTGGCATTTCATTGATTTGTATTTAATACAATTATTCCAAAACATGAACCAAGCAGCAAAAGGTGGCAATTCATCGTAGTGCTGTACTTTCCTTAAATCTATGTTTGTTTGGTGCAGTTTTGGAAAAAATATAACATCATGAATGCCATAGGCAATATTGACTTTATTTGGCAAGAATTAACTGATAAATGCATGAATGGAGTGTGGAAGAAGTTATGGCTGGAAGTATCCAAGAATTCTCAACAAGAAGAGCCTATTGCTGTACCGTTAGGTTGACCAAATTGTCAACCTAATCGATACAGCAGGACTAGGAGAGGTATGATGACAGGATATTGAGGAGTTACTGCAGGTTTCTGGTGTGAGCCTTACCAACGAGCTTCAAGAACTGGCAGAACAAGGAATTTGTGTAAAACTGGAAAATAGTGATTCTGAAAACAAAGAACCCAAAAAATTTATCTATAGATTTCCTTAGTAAAAATTTGGTAATTATAACTGAAATCATTGATCAAATTGTAGCAAATTATCCAGATTTTGAAAGGAGTGCAAAAGCAAGAAAAGGCATTTTGGATGTGCTCTATTGCTACCAACATTTGCTTAAGGAAAGAAAAATAAAGCAAAAAATGAAACTACACGACTTTATCACAAAAAACAAGACTTTCAGAAGAGCCAGGACCTTCATCACAAAAAATGAACTTTACATTTCTGTGTGCGTATGTTTGTTATTTAACATAATAATATATGTAAATTAATATAAAAATAATTTAAAATCAAAATAAAATCTGTTTATTTTTGAACACGTTTCCCCTTTCCCTATTTACTCTGTTAAAATGACCTTGTTTAATGCTGTTTTGTCTACGAATGTATCCTCCACATTAATGGTCTTACTGTAATTTTATATATTCTTCTAAAGAAGACAGAACTATCACAGTATCTGATGCAACAACTTATTTAATTTTTCCAATTATTTTATACATTTTGAGTGTTTTAAAACAAATTTGGGCTTCCAAATAGTAAAATTATATAGTTTATAACATAAATATTACTTTGGATTTAAAAACTCTTGTCCACAGTAAATATTGTTGGATATGATGCAGCATTAAGAAGACGTATGGTTTGAATCTTAAACTTCTTTCTACAAGAAACATCATAAAAAGGCAAATGTGTAACTAAATTAAGAAATAGATAACTGAAGAGGAGTGCTAAAGATACCTAAAATGCATTTCATCATTGAAAAAATTAAAGTTGCTGCATCAGATAATGCACTGGTTTGGTCCACTTTAGATGAATAAATAAAGATCACCAATAATGCAGTTCTCTAAACTTAAAATTTTAATTTGTTGAAAATAATTTTTTTATAAAATTAAAAAATTTTTTATTAAATAACATAATGCATATAATTTACATTGACATGTACTGGTACCATAATTATTTCTTAGCATTTTTTTTTTAAAGATTACAATATATATAATAAACAAATTTAGGTTTATAGAATTTTATTAATAAAGAACTTAGTTCATTTATCATATGCTATCTAGTATAATAAACATATACAGTATATGTAATCTTTAGTTTTAATTACACTGTGTTATTATTTTCTTTGATTGTTTCTGTTGCTGACAATATATTTAATACATATCATTACAATTTGAAAATGCTTTTTATATTTTCTAGTGCAGAGGTTCCAAAACTGTACTTTGCAGACCCTGAAGGGCTGTGAGATACATTTTGAGGGTTCTCGGGTCTGTTTTTTTAAAAACGTTTTTATTATATTACTTAAAAACATTATGTAAATTGATATTAAGCTTTAACTGAAATGTGATAAATTTGTATATTATATATTAATTAAAATGTTATATGTTATTGGTTTTTTTGGAAAATAAAAAAGTTTGTTCTTTTTATTACATTTTATAATTCATTAATTCTGTTATTTTAACAAAACTTTTTAAATTAACACAATTGGAAATTCTCAAAAAAATAATGTAAGATATTTCAGATGCTTATTATTACTGTAGTTTATTTATTAATGACTAAAAGCTAACAGCTGAAAATAAGGTCTACCAAAATACATCTTTTATAAAAGAATCTGCAATTTTTTTAAGCTTGGAACTAACTACTGCTTCAGAGAAAAGCAATTACAGTGAGTTGTATTATATT